TCTTTCACCAATGCATTAACATCAAATCAGCTTCTTGATGGCAGCATGTGCTTCCTCAAATTTGGGAAGAAGCTTCCAACGTGATCCATTTTCTGAACAACGTATAGGTCAAAAGATCAGGACATAATAAAGCGTCAATAACCCTGTTAGTGTCTCGTGAAATATTTCAATATGAAAGCACTACCACTTCTATCTGCTTGATGATTTTGGCAATGAAATAGCATACTAAATAAATGTATACCTCACTTATGGAGTTGCAACTAACTGTTTCCATTGCTAATCCCAAAGGTAGAACTCGATGTTTCATTTCTGCCACAAAATAAGTTCATTGAGATTCTTATTTGCACCTCTCCCATTATTCTATCTAAATGCAAACAGTTTGATAGAAACTCATACCTTTATTAAAAGAAAAGTCTTCACTATTATTTTGATTTAGAAGTTCATTCAGCTGAAAGAACAATTTATTAAAACCGCTGAATGCCATCTTCAACTCCCTTCTAAGGGTGGATATCACTGCTTGATCATGCTTTTTCAACTTATCGAATTCTTGATCATCATATTCCAGTAGCATTCTTTCACGAAATTTCACATCAACTGGCTGTTCAATTGTCTCACTGCAGTTGCATATAAATGACAGTTCATCCAAACTGTCTTCCAAATCAACACTTTTATTTGAAAATTCAGAGCCTAATGTAGAACATTCAGCATTTATTTCATCTACTTCACTAAGATGCTCATCCTTTAATGCACCAACAGACATTCTTAATTTGGTGTTGATTGAATCATGAATAACATTAAGTCTACAATTTGTTTTGGAAAGTACATCTTTTATCTGATGCAGCATTTGGCATTGACTTTGATTTAAAGACTTTTGTGTTTCCGTTGACTGTGGTTTTACTGTATAAGTTTGAAGAATTTTGTGGCTTTCCTTCATTGCCAGAATTTCATGCCTCATCTCATAAATTTCTCTGGCTAATTCGTGAACCATATCTGTGCACGAGAAACAAACCTGGAGAATATCTGTTTCAAGAACTGCCATTTGCTCTTCAGTGTCTGCAAAAGATGCATTTAGAGCCTTCTTTGACTCCAATACAACTAAACTGTCCATTTCTAGTTGGGCCTTGATGTACACTTCAGTGTCTGCAAAAGATGCATTCATGTCGGTTCTCATCTCTAGTTCCATATTACCACCAACTTCAAGAGAACAAAGTAACTCAGGGATAGAAAAACCTTTGTCAGTGTCAGCCTGATTAGAAAAGTTAGGGGAATCCAACAGCCATTTTACAACAAGGAGTGCGGCCTCAGAACATTTTTCAGCTTCATCAACCTGATCACCTTTCAGTTTGAGTTTATTCTCTAGCATCTTTACATCATGAATCCTCTCATTCAACAGCACGCCTAATTTGAATGCATTGTCTGCAATTTCATTGTTATCTTGCAGCCGAAGTTCGTTTAAGGCAATTGTTGCTCCCTTTAAGGTACTTAATTTCAGCTCCATACCCGCTGTCATGTTCTGTGCATCTTCCAAGCTTCTCTGTAGATGTAGAATTGTTTCCTCTTTCTCAATGCAGACTTTGATAGCTTTCTCAACATGCTCACTAATACAAATGTTAACATGAGGAAATGAAGAAACGATACTTCCTATCTGGTTAGAGGCATCCTTGAGGGATTTAGAACCATCTAGAAGGAAGCTTGTTAGCTCTACAGTTGCCCTCTCCCACTCCGAAGAAAGTGCCCTTATCTCAACCTCTTTTGCTGCTACAGAATTTTTCAGTCTATTATTCTCTTGTGTCATGCTGTATAAACTCTCCTGAAGTTTGGATTGAAGGCAAGCAACCTCTTCCTGCAAATAGACAATTGTTCTGGCTGTCTCTGTTTCAACCTGCTCCCGCACTTTTTCAACTTGGTGTTGGTAAGATAACATTGATGCATGATCTTCTTGATATTGGCAATTAAGTAGTCTGGTCTCCTCAAGATCTTTACTCAATTTCTGCAACTGTTTTTGCAAGACTTCCACATCCATCTCATTCTCACTTCCAATTACTGAAAATTGGTTTCTATCTCCTGGAATGTCAAACTCAGAACAGCAATGTTCTGGTTCAAGCGCAGATTGTCTCTCTTCCTTATCTTTGTTCCTTAACAGTGCCATGCACTTGTCATTCTTCTCCTGTACAATCTGCAACTCATTAATTAGTTGAACCTGCTTCGTTTCCAGGGCTTCAATCAATAATCTGGCATCTATCAATTCCCTCTCATTATCACCAGCATTCGTGATTGATCCACCATTCACAGCTTGCTTATTTTTATTTTCTGTAACTCTATCATCTTCATAGGCATAAGATGCCACCTCATCTTCAGAGTCACTTCTGATTGATAGAGTCTCTATCTGTTAAAGGTAATCACCAGCTTAGAAATAAAAACAAAAGTTTATAGGATTTTCTCTCTCTTCTAGAGGAAGCATATTATGAAGCAATTAAATCTTTCTCTAGAAATATCAATTTTTGCAAGAGATACGCCCTCCATAAGATAAAAAAAAAAAAAAAAAGCTACAGCTTAAGCATTAATTAGACTATAGTAATTTACTGACCTTTGAATACTCGACATCTTGCCTAAATTCGTCATTATCCTTGGAAAAAGAATTTGAAACCTGCATGGATATAAGATAATGAAATCCTCACCATATGACAATAAGTCATATTCAATAACCATCCTATTCAATTCTTTAGAAACCCTCACAGAATCAACTGCTGCCCGACTACTTCTCAACAATTTCCCATATTCTGTTCGCAATTCCTCTATTTCCCTGCAGGAAAAACCATGAATGAGATAAAGAAAAGTGAATAGTAAAAACTCAATCAGTATATTCTATATGATATATAGTCCTAATCATATTATTGAAGAGACAAATATCTACTGATATTATCTCCAAATATAACAATATGATTAACTTATTGTAATTACATGAGAACCCGTACTTCTATTATAACATCTCTACTATCTCTTGCACTGCACTATAACTAGCACAACCATCATGCAGCAAACTTATGAGACAATTAATTTATAAACCATACAATTCTAGTTCATGAAGGATAGGAAAAAGCTAATACAACTTCTTTACAGCCACTCAGTTAACAAAGTAGACTAAATAGGAAGAAAGAAAGGCAAATGGAAGACAGGAAAATTAGAATGATAAGAGGACCAAAAGAAACACACAAATTGTCATACCATGTATCAAAAGAGGGCCAATCAAAAAAGTACAGCCATCCGGGCCTAAATTCAACCACACATGTAGTTAATCAATGGGTATCAATGCAAGAGATTTCTTAAGCACTACTCAAGTGGCTTGTTTATTTTAGCAAAAGCTAAGTAGGGGTAAGAACTAAGAGAAAAAGTAAAGGGAAAAAAAGGGTAATAATGGAAAAAAGGAAGTTATAAAGAGGGATTTCATTGGTTGCCCCGACAAGAGCCAAACAGGAAACCAGAGTCAGAATTCTTCAAACAAAAGCTGCACCTGATATATGATATTTTGATTCAAATCTGAGTGGAAGTAATACCTCATTAGTTTAGAGTTTGAATTCCTGCAATCTTCCAACTCCTTTGCCATGTCATTATCCTGCAAGCATAGAGATTTTCAGAGACTATAAAGCAGCAGCTGTTAGGAAAATGACAGTCATGAAAATGACCAGGTAATATATGGAATCCTCTATAATTAATCACTATTAAAAGCAGATATTCAACTGCATCCAGATGAGCTTAAATATGAGAGAAGGTAGGCACTTCTAGAAAAGGTGCAGTATAGTAGCATCCAAAATAAAATTGTGTTTTAACCTGATTCTCATATCTTGAGGACAACCTATGCTTTTGTTCAAGTAAATCAAGAAGCTGCATGTCAAAAAAAGTATGAATTTCTCATTGAGGCTTTTGATCCATTTAAAAAGAACTAGGAAAAACAATGAAAATTCATCTGAAGGAGGCTTCTGTAAACCTGGACACGAAATCCCGAAATTTCAGCCAGCAAAGCTTCTCTCTCTCCATGCTCATAAAAATTTTGAAACCTGACACGAAAATAATGCAGATTGGAGTATTAGCATTAAGAAAAGAGGAGAGAAAATTAATGCACATAGTGAATAGTTCATGAAATTACCGTTGAAGCTGCTCAAGAAGTCTAATATTCTCTAAAGCAAAACGTGTCAATTCTGGATTTTTATCAATCCTTTCTTGAAGCACTTGGATCTCTTCTTTTAGAATTTTATTCTCCTCCTGAAGATATGTCTCGGTGGACAATGAACCCGATACCAACAGTTCAAGCTGTTTTATTTTCTCTTCACGAAACCTTAGTATCAGTTTAAATTCGTTGTGCATTCTCTTCTCTCAAGCAAGCCTACATCAGAGCCCTCAACAGTAAAATATCCCCATAAAGAGCATATATTTGCTACAAAAGAACTTAGAGGTGCATAGTAGAAAAGGCTCTATAAGATGGGAGTAATATCCCATGGAAGGAAAACAGCACTGATCAATTTTTATAACCAGCATACCAAGCGATGCACATGCTCGATTTCAGCCTCTAATTTCCGAAGTGCAGTTTCAGCATTCTTTTCTCTTCTGAGAGCACCAATCAGATTGGCTTCAATGGAGTCCGCCTGTTACACATGGTGTCACTGGTTATCCAACTATATTACCAAATTGTGGATATATCTTTTGCAGGTTCTTACATTCTTGCTTGGCAAACTGTGCATTTGATAATGATATCCATCTGTTATTCTATGTCCTGCAAGTCTACAGTTATCAGAATATCCAGCTAATCTGGATTCTTCAAGATTTAGTCCACAGGTAGATAAAGATCTTGGACAGTTCTGAAGTTTCATTAGAGAGGACAACTGGCCCTGTGAATATGATGGAAGGCTCAACTTTGACAACGCATACAAGATAATTAAACACAAAAATGTAGGGCTGGCTAGTCTACCTTCAAATGTTGTATTTCTCGCTGCAGCGCCGTAACATCACCAGAAGCATCTTCATTTACTTTAGCCTAATAAACAAGCAGTAAAGTGAAATTCAGACATGCTCCACAGAGTTTTCCAAGTCACATACAGAAATATAAGTAAAAATTACGTTATTCTGAATAAGCTTGGCGCGCTGGGCAAACTTCAGAGTACTCAATGTTTCACTTGCAGAGCTGCAAGAGAGAAACAAAAGTCATGCATGTGAGAGTCAAAGGACATTCATGTAGAGAAAGCATCATACAGACCAAATGGATGGGCTGACATTTGCAATTATCATTGTCTTTGAATTCCCCCCAAGAGAATCCTGCATTGAGTTACATCTCTATAGTGAGGAGCCAAACAAGAAGCATTAATTACAAATAGAAACATTTAATACTTAAGAGCTCTCATAACAATACCTGTAGTAGAAATGTAAGCCGAGAATCTCTGTAAGGGACATGCCTCTGTTTCCCATGCGCCAGATCTACTAAAGACATTATCACTAAGCTACAGGGAATTTCACAGAAGATCAATATTCAGAAAATTTTGAATGTTTCCTAGGCCTAAATTCAAGCCTGCAAACGAGTTGATAAAACAGCACCTTATACATAGATTAGGCTATCATTCAAGAATTATCTTAACCACCATTGATTCCTTGATGAGATCAAATTCTAAAGGATTCATTAAGGCACATCTATTAAGTAACATGGTTTATACTAAAATTCAGTGTGCATTTTCAGCCTCTTTGTAAAGTCAAATATTAATATTCTCATTGCTAAGGGATTTCTAAAGATGGAAACATTTTATGGTACTGAACAGCAAGATCACTTTGGGGTTTTCACTAGCACTTTCACTGTACTTAGCAAAGGTGGTTGCAATCACCAGTACTGTTATGCATAACTTGAGGAAGAGTAGCAAACAATCATGAAAAGAACTGCATAGTCTCGAAAACAAACTGAGAAGGATATGACAAACTTATTACCCAAGAGTTGACAAGGATTTGTTTATATTTGCTGCTTCTTTTAGACGGTCTCCTTCCGCACCAGAGCTCTTCTGCCTGCATGTAAGGCACTATAATTCTACACCAAAGAGAAATTTTAAGAAAAAATTGTTGTGGAAGCAACAAATTACCTTTCAGAACCTGCTAAATCTACTAAATTTAATCTTGCAAATCTAAAATGGGTCATTGAATCTTTCTCCCATCGGCTTTCAATAATGCAAGTGAATACACTATGGGATCTGCTGCTCTCACCATTCATTTGGGTTGCCGCTATCTTTCTATTTGCAGCACCCTGTGCAACATAGAACCATTGTCTAAAATCAAGTTTGTGTTCTACCACATGGTAAATGCTAATAGATAAAAAGTTTGAATCGGGAAATCCCACCTGTAAAAGAAGCTTGAGAACATCATTGACAGTTCTTACATTACATTCTGTAAGATTCTCAACATATACTCCTTTTTTAAGTTCTTCCCTTAGCTACAGCAGGAAAATTACATTGATTGACCATCAATTTATTCAAGTGGACATAATGACAAACAACAATATCAGAAAATCTTAATTACTTGCAGATTAATTGATGAAGGCTCCAATAGATCTGTTATCTGCTCATTGTATATCTCCAGAAAGGAACATTTGCAACTGAACTGCAGCTTCTCGTCCCGTCTGCTCTCTTCTTCCTACAGATCAGATTCTAGGAACATGTCATACTGAATAGAGAAAAGTAAAACTAGGGTTATGTTCGGAGAAAGTTTATGTATCTCTGACCATTCTAATCCTTGAAAATAGATATTCGAAAATCCGGGGAGTAATCCCAGAATCCTCAGTGAGCTTGCCTTGTAACTCGAATATTTCCCCCATCATGGTATAGGTCTTTCCACTACCTGTCTGCAAAGCAATATCCTGTTTTTCACCATCTGCACCATAATAAAATACTGTAAAGAACACAAAACCCCGTTCAATTTCCTACCTGGCCGTAGGCAAACATGCAGCTGTTGTACCCAGACATGCAATTCTCCACCATAGGAAGTCCAGCAACCCTGAATAGTTTTTCCTGTTAAAAGTTCAACGAAACTGCCTTGTAAGCATCCATCTGTACATTGACTACTTGTCTCTTTAGTTCCCAGGAAGAAGATGGGAAAAGAAACGAACTAGAAATTTCATCCCCAAATGTCACAGCAAGTAGTCTTCAAAATAGAAACTCCAACAGACTGAGGGTAACATCACTTTCTTTTGGTTCCTAATTTTCAATTTCTGCATCTAGACATATAAACTTAGAAACATTAATTAATCTACATGAGGAAACTACCTGAGATATCGACTCGCAAGCTATATGATCAAAGGTGAATCTAGTCTCCGGATTGCCAAGCCACACCAATGTGTGGGCACTCTCCTGCTTCAAACACCTACCATACCCTTGCGAAACCTTTTCCATTGTATTCAGTGGCCTCATTCTTATCAAGACCTATGCAGAAACATTCAGGACATCATCGTCGGCATCCAATAAACAAAGTAAAAGCTGTTTCAAGCCAGTAACAATCAACAATAATAATAAATTCAGATTATCAAAACACAAACCTGCACATTGTGATCTGTCCAGTACGACGGATCCTCGTCAAACTCAAAATGTGGAGCTTCTGTATACAAATCAAAATCAGCAACCGGAATCCCCCTTGAAATTCTAGAA